AGGTTATAATTTATTTATATTAATATCTTTTAAATTAAAATATTTAAATGATTTTAATTAAGACAATAAAGAAAAGAAATTATAATAATTTATTATAATTGATTCATTTATAAACAAAAATGAATAAATAAATAATAAAAAAATAAGATTGAAAAAAAATTTACCATTGGTACTCGTCTAGATTTTCTAACACACACACACACACACACACACAGCATTCTATATTATTTAAATATTAAATTCTCGTTTTATTTTTAAAAAACAATAAATTATCTTTAAAAATATCATTGAATAAAATTAATAGTTAAAAATGGGACACCCTGTAGATGTTTTTTTAGATCAGTGAAAGTGTAATGCAAATTTTCTAACGGTGCCACACATCTTTTTCTTTCTCGTTTTCATATACATATAAATTATATACACACATACATATATATAAGAAGATAAAAAAAAAACATCTTTTTCACCTGATCATTCGTTTAATTATTAATATTTTTTGTCTATCAAATAATTATTTAAAAATTATTTAATTACGAGGTTGAATAATTGTTATCTCGTGAACATGTACATACACACAATGGTGGTACCTTCTTATTAACTGTCCTTAATATTTTGAACTTGACATTTAAAATGACGGATAACGCATGCACGTGTTTATGCGGTAACCTTCGGTATTTCATTATTTACACCGACAGTAGTAAGAAGCAGGTAACATCAAACGTGTGAGTATATACATATATATATATATATATAGCTTTCTTAAAAGTACGTTTATATATGTATTGGTGTGTCATCGGTGTTTTAAGCTGGACATATATAATCCCTCGGCATTTTTCAAAAGAATCATGAAAGATTCTCAATCACATACAGGATTATTCAAAAATTAAATGTCACATTTGTAAATTAAAATTTAAATATCAACTCGTTGACATAGAAAGAAAAGAATAGAGAAGGGGAGGTGAGGGGTAAAAAGTTTCGATAAAACTTCCTAACCTAAAATCTCAAATGTTCATTTCCAATCTCATATTTATAATAATTAAATGTCACATTTGTAAATTAAAATTTAAATATTAACTCGTTGACACAGAAGGAAGGGATAGAGAAGGGGAGGTGAAGGGGTAAAAAGTTTCGATAAAACTTCCTAACCTAAAATTCCAAATGTTTATTTTCAAATTTGCAAATTGTTACACGATTGATCGATTTTTTAATACTTTATTTGATTTCAATTTGTTCTCATTCTCTTCCATTTTTCTAACGATCATTGGTTGGTTAATAAGCGTACTTTTTGAATCAACGTTTGACTTGTAAGTCAAATGAACGACTGATAACAATTTATTGTTTAATTGTAAATTGATTTTATTAAATATATTGTGTTATTTGTTTGTTAAAAACATAAATATACGAAGGAATATTTCTCTCAACGTTTAATTTTATGTTTATAATTTGCTTGATGTTGTTTTTTCTTTTTTTTAGAGGTTAAGTTTTGTTTGAACAGAATTAAATGGACGATTAATTTTAACGATGAGACAATTTCTTTGTTGAGTTACTTTAAGATAACGTGATTCAACACCATTAGATTTTTTTTTTTTTTTTCTATGAGAATTGTAGATAAATAATATAAAAATCAGCAATAATAAAACTGTACTAAATTTGTATGAAAATTTGGAATAAACAAAAATTGTCAAAATATAAATTTGAATCAAACTTGAATGAATGTTAAACAATTAAACATTAATTATAATTAATAACAGTTAATAATTAAATATTAGAATAATTTGATTGTTTATAATCAATGTTACGAACCGTAATCGTATTAATTTCTAACAGTTTACATTTAATTTCAATTTAACGATGAGTTCATTTCATTTGGATTGACCTGTAGTAAGAAAATGTGTTAGACTAAACATGTTAACGCGCATGTATGAAAATAATTAAGGATTATTGAATAGATTAGAATAATCAAGGTGTTGTTGATTCTCTTATGAGCAATCGTTTAAGTATGTTAAAATTTTATTTGAGTAGTACGAGTAGGTAATATTCTGGAATCAAGCACAAGATGTGGAAACGCCTTTCTCTTTCACACGTGTTTGAGCTCTTCAACAAAGTGAAATCAAACTTTATGAGTCAAAGAAATTGACAAAAACAAAAAAAAAGAAAAGAAAAGAAATAAACAGAAAAAAAATGTAAGAAATCGTATCAGTTTTCTTTTAACTGTTAATAGATTTAGATACATTTGCAACAATGTTTTTGCAAACAATTTCGATACATTTAGACGCAATTGCAACTGTGCATATGCACGTTTTTGAAATGTCTATTATTTTTTTTATTTAATAGGAAATATTGCGAATTAAAATTCTATTTCTATTTGAATATTTAAGGTTTTAGGTTAAGTTAATTTAGAAATGATTTTATTATCGTAATAAGCTGTTTGAGATTGCACGAATTTCTTTTGTTGATTTGACAATTTAAATTCAATAAGAATGATAATGATATTTTGTCGATAATGTTGAGCAACCTGATAAATGATTTACGAATTATATTATTTACGATTAAATACATTTAAATTAATATTAAATTTTATTTTTATTAAATTTGTTCAAATTTTTATTTATTTTATAATAAATACAATTAATATTAATAATTTTTAATTAAAATTACAAAATAAATTAAATTTACCTAATAATAATAATATTATTATTATTATTATTATTGGAATATAATAAATAATTAATAAAAAAAATTTGTGAAGTGATTAAAAAAAAAAAGATTAAATATAAAAAAAGAAAATTAAATAAATTATTAATTATAAGAAAATTGCTAACGAACACACGGACACACACACGTGTGTGTGTGTGTGTAGATGAATATTTTTGAAAAATAATTTTTCTTTTTTGCAATGATACGAAAAAAAAAAAAATATATTTTTTCCTATTTTTAGAATTTGTGAAAATAAATCTATTTGAAGTGAGAAAAAGAAAGAGAACTCGTAAAGAGGTTTCACTTTAGAGGATGCATTTTAATCGTGCAACTGTACGGGATGGGAGGGTTTAAGAAGGTTGAAACGATTGCTTAATCCCTGTCATCGTTAACTCATAGTTACTCTCATCGGCCGATTGTACCCGCGAGCGAACAACTACTTTCACCACTTTATTTTATTTCGTAGTGTATTCGGTAACGAATACAACGAAATACGTCAATTTGTTATATTAGAATAGCAAATCAAAAACAATAAATTTTATCAAATGAAATGAAGTTATTCAATACCTTTAAAGAAGATGAAGTAAAAAAAAAGAAGAAAAACAAAAATGGTTCAACCAATATGTTCAATGAAGTTTTTTTTATTTTATTGTTTTAGTCAAAATCATTCGAATTTTTTTCGAAGGAATTTCAATTGGAATTCGTTATTATTATTATTATTATTATTATTATTATTATTATTATATATTATTTAATTTATTGATTTGAGAGTAGGGGTAAGGGTTATGTGGTAATATTTTAAATAAATTGAAATATTAATATTGTTTATAATGAAATACATTGTTGTTACTATGATTGGTTAGTATTTGAATAATATTATATTAAAATATTAATAATTGTTATTATAAATATTATTTTGTTAAATATTAAATATGCAATAAATATAAATTAATAATAGTACAAAGTAATGCACCAAAAAGTGTTTAGGTAATAATACTAATAATTATTATTATTAAATAAAATTTAATTGTTTTTGTGAGAGTAGGGGGGAAGGATTGTGTTAATATTTTAAAAAAATTGTAATATAATAATATTTGTTATTATAAATATTATTTTGTTAAATATTAATGTACAATAAACTTAAATTGGTAATAGTATAACATATTGCATCAAAATTTGATTAAATTATTTTTTATGGAAACCAAAAATAATAATTTATAATAAATTATTATTAATAATATTACAAATTATATTATAATTAATTATATTAATAAATATTAAATAATATAGTTTGTTGTTATCTTATTAATGATATTGAACAAATAATTCATATATATATATATGTATATAATATAACAAATAAATGTATTTTACAAAATACTTACAATATAAACATTTATTTTTATACGAACTTTCGAGGTTGGAAAAAAAAATATTTTTATGCAAATTATTTGTAACTCGTTTAAAAAAATCAAAAAAAAAAAATTTCACGACGTTTTCCTCATTCGAAGTAACAAATCAACTACGTCGCTTTCGTTTGAAACGATTTTCATGTCACGTTTCTTGTTCAATTCAAATCACGAATATAAACCCGTGAATAATTCCACATTTGACCGCAAACTTTGAGCGGGGAAGGCTTACAAAAAAAAAAAAAAGAAAAAAAAAGGAAAAGAAAAAAACATTAAAGAAAGAAATAAAAAGAAAAAGACGAAAGACAAGGAAGTTGTCGAAACGATCGAAAAAAAATTTTGTTCCTTTCGAAATACTAATGTAAGAACATTTTTTTCCCTCCCTTTCTTTTTTTCTGCCTTTTTTTTTCTTTTCTATAACCAAAAAGTGTAGAAATATTAAATACATTTGTATGTGTGTATTTCGAAAAGTCATTTCGTTGTTTCGTCAATAAACTTCATTAATCATTATTATTAATGATACATAATTTCTTTTTAAATCTCGATAAATAATTTTGATCAGTTGAAGGTAAAATAAACAATGGTGAATGCTAATTGTTGTATAACAATGCTAGAAATAATCGAATTTATCAAATTAAATCTTTTTATGAAACATCTTGGATATTGTTAATTGTTGTAAAAAATAATTTCTTTTGTTTAACATTGAACAAACGAAATTAGCTTTCGTATAACCTAAAATTATTTCTCATTGATCATCAGATTAATTTTAAACAATTATCGGTTAACCTAATAAAAATAATTCAATATTTGGATATAAAATGTTGTAAAAATAATGTTTATTAATTATATTTCATTTTTAATGTATATTTTCTTGTAATTGTTTGTATTTTATAGGTCGAAGGAATCATTGAGCAGCCATGAACTTTGCGCTGCATGGACTTCTACTACAGGGTAAGACAAAAAAACAATATTAACATTGTTTTAATTTTTACTTGGCTCCATTTCTTTAATTCCATCCGTTGGCATTGACAAACACGATAGGATTATTGTCTATTGTTTAAAGCGTGACGATTATTATTAACCAACATTTAACTGTTAGAAATAAACGGAATCGATCGAAACGAGAAGACAATGTGATTTGAATGGCGATTAGTATGACTGTAAATAACCACACCTTCTTTAATTAGAATTCAATTGATTTTATATTATTGTTTTGTTCAATGACTTCTGTATTACCATAAAATAATAATCATATGATGTAAATATATATATTATTATTATTATAGGATTTAATCATGAACATATATAATATTTCAATGTTATTATAATTTATAATAATAACTGTATAAATAATATTTGTATTATTTTTATTCAATATTTGTATAGTTTAATATAATTGCAATGTAATAATAAGATTAAATTAATTAACTTAATTCAATGATTTTATATCGTTACTGTAAATTTTAATAATAATTATCATAATATACATTTAAATTTGCAACTAATGATTCGTTAATTTAATTATTTTATTTTAGTTATTGTTACATACAGTCTAACATTTGAAACAGTATTTTTTTTTATAAATATACAGTTATTCTACAAAATGTTCTGACACTATAGTATAAACTATACTATACTATTATTACTATAATAAGAATAGTTTATAATAGTAAGTTTAATACAGTATATTATAATAGTTATTATACAAATTATACAAATATATTACTATTATTATACAAAGTTAGGTTATACTGTATTTATAATAACTAATATACAGTAAAATCTAACTTTGTTGTTTCATATTTCCAATGGTTACTTTTTAAATTGTAACTAATGATTCATTAAGTAATATAAGTATTATTATTCAAAGTTAGGTTATACTGTATATATAATAATTAATATACAGTATAATCTAACTTTGTTGTTTCATATTTCCAATGGTTACTTTTTAAATTGTTACTAATGATTCATCAAGTAATATAAGTATTATTATTCAAAGTTAGGTTATACTGTATATATAATAAATAATATACAGTATAACCTAACTTTGTTGTTTCATATTTCTAATGATTACATTTAAAATAACCAATTATAAAATCCAAAAACCAATCATACTTTATTGTTAGAATATTTTTATACATCACTTTAAATTTAGCCAACAATTTTTATATTTACATATACACATACATATGATTATTATTATTCTAAGAGTGTTGTAATGATCACCAAGAAAGAGAAGGGAAGTTTACTTCATCAAATTTATTGATTCATCGTTCACATATATCTACCTTGTTTTTTTTTTTTTTTATTTAAAATCAATCTACATTTTACATACTACTACTGTATAACTAACTTAACTTTATTGTGTTTCATATTTCTAGTGGGGTTGATTTTGAAATATATAACCAAATATGAAATTTAAAAAATTAGTCTTACTTTATGGTTCCATTATTTTTATGAGTCATTCTAAATATATCTAATAATTTATATATATATATATATATATATATTTACATGTTACACACACGTGTTATTATTCAAAGAGTGTTGTAATGATCAACAAGAAAGAGAAGGGACGTATAGTTCATGAAATTTATTGATTCATCGTTCACATGTATCTATTTCTTTTTTTTTATTCAAAATCAGTCTACATTTTACATACCACATATAAGTATACATATATATATATATGTATATATGTACATACATTGAACATTTCTTTCTCTACTTTGACTTTTCTCCTTATGTAACCGCGCAAGGATGCGGTTAGACCTTTCGAAGCGTGTCTCTTGGTGCCGAAGTCACGTAAGACGCACATTACTAAGTCACGATCTTAATTTCACTCTCTCACGTTGCCGAATAATTATTTTACGAGAGCAGAGAAAAGAAATTGTGATTTTAATAAAGATTATGATGAATCTGAAAGCATTCAGATTTTTATTTCTTCTTAAACTTTTAACATTATATTTGTCACTTGTTAAATGATTTCATTAATCCTTTTTATATTTTTCATTGTTATTAGCTGATCTATCATTTTTGTTGATCACCTTATGAAGGTGTTTAAATTATTATACAGTTTATTTGAATGAATTTCAATCATTTTTAAATATATATGTATTTATTGAATAGGTTTTGGTTAAGTGTGTATAATAATTTGTTAGTACATTAAATAGGTGATTAATAATTATTGTAAGGATAGGATTGTGTTAGGATTTTATGTTGGTATAAGAGAGTTGATAATTATATTTTATTGTATATATATACTAATAATTTTATTTTAATATTGGGACCCAATAAACAGTAGCCTTTTTTATTGCTATTTTATCTTAGAATGAAATACTTAATTGATAATAAAAATAAAAATATACAGTCCCTAATAAATAATAATCTTTAATCAAAACTTTCATTTTTATGAAGTTTAATTAAATAATTTAATTAATAATTAATTATAAAGTTTTAAATATTATAATTATAATATATAATAATTAATAATAATAAAAATAATAATATAATTATTTTAATTATATTTAAAATATCATTAAATTATAAATATTATAATTAAATATTTTTTAAGATTTATTATATAAAATTTAATTAAATAATCGAATTGATAATTAATTATAAAATTATTATCAATATATTAATATATTAATATTAATGTATTATTAATGGAATAAATTTGTTTCAATATGTGTTGAATAAATTTAGAAATAAATTCAGTTAATTGATATTACATTATCTGTTTGTCTCAAAAAAAAAAATGGATTAGAAATTTGATTGATTTGTATGAAAAATTTGGTGGTTTATCCAGGTACACTAGTTTTACTAACTCTTCGAACTTTACTTTCATCCTTGAAGCGACCTTCCAAAAGGAATGAAAGGCTCTCTCGGTATCGTTAGTTTCATCCTTAAACCGGTCTCATGCCGGATGGCAAACCTTGGTGACGCGCGTTACTATTTTCGAACGTGCAAGTAACAACGTTGGGTTTAACGATTGAACTTGGAGAAGAAAGACAGAGATAGAAATACATTTGAAATACTATTCAAATATTTCTTTCTTTTCTTTTTCTTTTTTATTTTTCTTTTCTTTTTTTGTTTTTTTTTTTTTTTTTAGCATCATTATGACATCCATTTTTCATCCATTTAAATTCAATCTTATTAATTATTTTTGGTTCATTTTTTTTTTTGAGATTTTGAATAATTTTACAATTACAATTTGATGTTTACATTTTTGATTCTTTCATTTCATTCTTTCATTTTTTTTTTATTATTATTATTATTATTATTATTCAATTGTAAAGTTGTTGTAGAATTTTTATTATATAAATTATAATATGTTGAGAGTAAGATAAATGTTTGTAAAAGTTTTATTTTATTTTATTTTATTTTTACTCGGATAAATTAGATTATTAATGGGTTGATTTATAAATGATTGATTAATGAAATAATATGTATTAATTAGATATATTTTTTTTTGTATCATATTTGCATTTTGTATTCTTTTCAAATTTATTATTGTAAATTATGAAAGACAAAAATGCACCTGTTCAAATATAAAAACAACAACAACAACGATATAAATGTTAATATAATTTATTTTGAAAGAAATTTATTTACGATTGATAATTGTATTTTTTCAAATATATGGCGGGCAAATAATTTTGAGGTTAATTTTGAAGATATTCTTATGAAAGACAAATGCATACATGCACGTATAAAAACAACAACAACAACGATATAAATGTTGTATATAATTCATTTTTAAAGAAATTAGTTTACGATTATTTATAATTGTTTTTTTTTTGTTTTTTTTTTTTTTTTTTAAATGTCGCGGACAAATAATTTTGACGTTAATTTCGAAGATTCTATTTCTTTTTTATTTAAGCGAAATCAATATTTCGAATATATATAAACTTTCTCTTTTGAAATTTCTTTCACACTTTCTCATTTAACATAATTTCATATATATATATATATATTTTTTTTTTGTTTCTAAGTAATTCGTTATTTTTTTTTTTTTTTAAATTCGATTACAAGATCTGCATGTTGTCTGTACAGATAATCGGAGTTACGGTGAATCAAGAGCCGGATTAATCCGTCTTCCGGGAATATCTGGGTAAGAATTTAATCATCAGTTTCTATACGTTAGAAACGATATTACGAAGAATTTCAATTCTATTTAAAACAGGAAATATGTCTATTCAAATAGAATAGTTAATCGAATAGAAATCTTATCTTTCATTTAAATACATAATAATTAACATAAATTTCATTAATTTGTTTACACCCTGAGAAGATTTTCGTATCAATTTGATTTAATTTTGAAACATTTCCGTCTAATTTCACGATACGATACTTATAAACTTATATAAAACTAGGGATGCCCCGCCACGCGTTGCTATGGTTCACAATCAGTCCGATACACACGTATTTAAGTCAACGAATTACCTTATACCGTCATCTGTTAGAATCTTATCGAACTAACAGAGATAATCATGACTCTTTATTAATAAACAAAATAATATTGCGATTATTAATTGAGATATAAACTATCCTATCTTTCAAGTTGGATGAAACTGCACACAGTGTGCAAAATTTGATTAAAATCGGTTCAGTAGTTTAGGAGTCCATTACGAACAAACAACGTGACACGTAATTTATATATATTAAGAAGATAAGATATATTACAAAGGAGTTGAGTGGTGGGGGGGGCTGGGGGATTAATATTTATGTGAATATTTTTATTTCAAATTTGTTGGTGCGTGATGATTTTCTTTTTTTTTTAATGATTTTATATGCAAGCGTGCAAAATTCTCATTGAACTTTATTACAGTTTAACATTGTTTTAGAAATCGAATATATTGTTATTGTTTTAGAATAAAAATTTCACATGATCTAGGACAATGATAATTAACATTTAGACAAATAAAGACAATGGAATTTCTGCATATAGTTCAGGAAGATTTTCTATTTCTTTTCACGTTAGAAATGAAAAGTATTGTGGTACGTTATTCAGTCATTTATTATTTATGAGAACATTCCACCAATAAAAAGGGATTATAATTTTAAATAAAAATGTCGGAAATCTAGACGACATTTTGAAATCAGTTTTATTCATATAACAATTGCAAATATTTTCTATTGTTCATCTTTAAATATAATATAATAAAAATAATAATAATAATAATAATAATAATAATAATAATAATAATTGAATACTAAACAAATATGATTTAATGGAAAAAATAATTTATTATTATAAAATATTATTTTAAAAATTGTCTTGGATTTAGAATAAAAGTATCTTTGTATTAGAATGCAAAATTTCATTAAATCCAACATTTGTATGTAATTGGAATTTTATACAAAAAAAATAAT